TTATTAGCAATAATTGAGTGTTTAAAGAAATGAGCCACTGAGCTACAAAGTGTAAAGAAATTCAAGATCCTCACAGATCATAAGAATCTAGAATACTTCATGACTACACACAGAATAAATGAAAGATAGCTATGTTGAATGGATATTCTCTATCAATTCAACTTCAGAATTGATTACTGGTCAGAGAAGTTGAACACTGGACTGAACACTCTATTGTGAGGAGAGCAGAACATGTCACAGAGTACTGATGATAAGAGAATCAAGCAGAGACAAGCTCAACTACTTAAGTTTAATGTATTGACATCTGAAATGAAATCAATAGTGGCTGCTGTCAGTGTGAAATCTGAAATGTCTCTTCAAGCTCAGTGAAATGAGATCTGCAAAAATGACAAGATCCTGCAGCATCTGAAGCAAACTTTTCATGAAAGAAGATTCAGATTTTCTTCTGAACTCAGCATTAAAGCCTCCATCTCTGAGTGCTTTTTAAAGGAGAACAGAGAGCTTCTCTTTCAAGATTGTAAGTGAGTGCCAGACTTTGAACCTCTTCAAATCAGATTAGTACATGAGACTCATGACTCATCTCTTACCAGTCATTCTAGGTGAGTGCAAACAGCAGAAGTTCTAATACATGAGTTCTACTGGCTAGGCTATGCTGCTGATGTGAGAAGAATGATCAGAAACTGTCATCTTTGCAGATAAAACATCACATGAAGAGATCAATATCAAAAACTGCTTAAGTCTCTTCTGATTTCTGAACATATATGGCAGAAGCTTTTCATGAACTTTATCATGAACTTACTGAGCTCTACAGAATACATAAACATCATAATTATAACAGACAGACTGATCAAGAGAGTTATATTAAAAGCAGTTAAGAAAACTGATGCAAAGACAGTGACTAGAGTATTTCTTTACAATATCATCTCTTGACATGGCATCTTTAAGACAGTAGTGTCAGATCAAGAGTTAGCTTTCACAAGCATGTTTTGAACTTGAGTGTGTGAGAAATTAGACATTAAGAGGTGACTCTTCACAGTCTATCACTCAGAGACTGACAGAGCTACAGAGTGAATGAATCAGACTCTGAAAATCTACCTACACAAGTACATTAGCTTTCAACAAAATGACTGGTGTGAATGGCTTTCTTTAGCAGAGCTGGTCATCAATAATAGAGATGCTGCCTCAATGAGCATGAGCTCATTCTTTTTAATGCATCTTTTCCTCATCTCCTCTATTGATATAGCTGATGCACCCTCTGTTGAAACATCACATAATTCTATTAAGTTTGCAGATGATTACATAAGGAAGGCCTGTGAAGTGTTGAAGTGAGCTTATGTAAAAATGATGAATGCTCAGCAATCTTAAGAGAAATATGTGAATAGATGAAGAGATTCAGCTTCAAGCTTTCAATCTGGAGATAAGGTCTGATTGAGCTTAGAGAACATGAGAACTAATCATCTGTGCAAGAAGCAGAATGTGAAATACAATCAATATACTGTGCTAGAAAAGATAGAATTTTATGCTTATCAACTAAATGTTTCACTCAGCATTCACAATATCTTTAATGTAAAGCTTCTACATGCTGCAGTGACAGATCTTCTGTCTAGTCAGAGGCAAACTGACTGATAGCCATCTGCTATAGAGATCTCAGAAGAATCTGAGTTTGAGATTGAGAAAATTCAGAGCAAATGAATCTATCAGAGAAAAAAGCAATATCTCATTAAATGAGTTGATTGGGCTGAACCTACATAGAATGATGCAAGTCTCCTACAAGAAGTGAAGGTCTTGAACACTTGAGAGACCTCTCAGCAGGCAAAATTAGGTATAAAGAGGGCTTTAAATAGTTGTAAAGACCTGCAACAAAGAGGGAGAAGAGAAGTATTAGAAGAAATTGAACCTCTAGATTCACTCTGGCTGACTGACTCAGCCTAGTCATTGTTTGCATGTGTGCATGTGATCATGCTATGTGAGCTTGCTTAAGCTTGAGTTCTCATCTCATTCTTTTCTTCCCTTTCTCAAGCAATTCATTCTTGTTATATAGGAGGACTAGTCTCTAGTTCTTAGAGCTTAACCCTTTACAACAAACTAGAACTAAATACATATTTATAAAATATTTCATAGAATTAAACTTCAAGTAATTCTTTAACAAACTTAATAAAACTCAGTTAAAACTCAGTTAAAATTAACTGAAGCTTTAACTGAATCTGATTAAGCTCTAGTAGAGAAGGCGTTTTAGTGAGATCTGTAGATTCCTCTTAAAATATTAGTTTTTTCTGATTTTTCTTTAAATAATTAGAAAAATCTTGCTCAAATTCAACTTTTTTTTTAATAAAAAATATTTAAATATTGATTCTATATTTATTTTAAAAAATTAAGATACATACTAGTTATATAAAGAAAATTTCTTTAATATAGATATAATTAATTAGTTTTTAATAATTTTTAATTGAAAAACTAGTATTTCTTTCTAACTTAATCATAATTAAAATTAACAAATTTATACTCTTTCTATATTTTAAGAAGTATTTATAAAAATTTTATTAGTTTATTAGATTCTTTTGAAAAATATCGTCTAATTATTAAATTAATAGTAAAATTAAAAAGATTTCTATCAAAGTTTATTAAATCAAATATATAAAAGCTATAAATATAAATTGAAACATGGAAAAACCACTCTCTATATCTGAAACAGAGAAATGGACTCATTTAAAAACGTTTAAATAAAAGATAAAAAAATAAAATAAAGTAATAAATTGATAAATTAAATTAAATACTTTAATAATCTAAAACTTATAGCATTTATCTTAAAAAATCAAGTAAATAAAGAGTAGAATCAAAGAAATTTTATTCATCTAATTTTACTATTAAAGCAAATTCATGAGATTATTAAATTCAAAATGAATATGATTAGTTCAATTAGATATATTCTACTTTAGTCTCAAATTAATCTATTTAAATAGAAAATTCTTACTTAGAATCAATTAAAAGTAGTATAAAATACAGTTATATAATCTATTTTTATATAAATAGCTGCTATTTCTCTTTTTTTCTTCTACTCAGTTAGTGTCTCTAAAAGTTTTGAAGAAAAAAAACTTAAAATTAGAAAAGCTAAGTCAGTCAAAGAAATAATATCTTATTTAAAGCTTATAAATAAAGTATTAAGAAGTTAACTTCAAAGCTCAAAAATAATTTTTGAATTAAAAAATAAATTAAATTAAAATCTATTCTCAGTAGTAATAAATAAAAAAATAATCTTTATAATTAATATTTTTTCTATAAAAAACTTTATAATAATTATTATCTGAATCTTTAGCTAACTTTTTTATTAAAAATAAGAAAAAATAAAGATCTATATAAAAAAAACTTCAAGTAAAGAATAATTAAAGCAAGATAAAAAATAAAAAAATCAATTATTTATAATATTTTCAATAATATTATTAATAATAAAGATGATATGATAATACTAAAGAATAATCTCTTCTGACTTAATAAATTTGATATTAGCTAAATAAAAGAAGTAGAATTAATATTATTTCTAACTGATTAAATTCTAAAGTAAGATAACTACTATAATCATTTAAAATAAAAAATAAATCTCTTAACTCTATTTGAATTTATTGTTAAAATTATATCTATTGATATCATTTTAATCTATTTCATCAGTAGTTTAGCAATTTAAATTTGTATCTAGTTTTCAAGTTTTTAAAAGATCTTTAAAGTACTTTTTTTAATAAGTTCTTACTTTGAAGAATAATATAGAGAGATAGAGTTTATTCAAATATATTGAATGACTTAATTATAGTTATTTATTTATAATTTCTAGACTGTAAAAGCTTTATTCAATTATAATACTTACTATTAATAATAATCTTAGTAGTAATGCAAACTCTCATAGCAAATTCAGTCTTATTAAAGTTGTATCTATCTTTTAATAGAATTTTATAGTTAATAATTATATTTTTTAAGATTTTAAATCAATTATTTATAATCTACTGATTTTTTTACTTAATATATTTATAATTAACTATAGTGTTTGAAATAGCAACTTTGAATCTTTAAACAGGATGGAACTAAATTTAACACTCAGCCCTTGTTAATATAAAAGAAAGAGTAATAATGCATAATTATTATATCACTTGTATGTCACAATCATTATATTGTTTATATATCATAATCATCATATCATTCATATATTTTGTATCACAGCTATGACTTAAATCCACTAATACAGCTGTATTACTTTTATGACTTATATATGACTTACATATATTTATATATATATATATATTTCATTCTTTTCTTGCTGTTTTTTCTCTTCTTTTTCTTTTTCTTTTTCTTCAGTTGTTCTGATTAGATTGATTAGCTAGTCATTACAAATACTACTATCTTATGTCTACTATATTCTGACTTTTGTTATAGATGAATATAATTGAATTTAGTATAGTAAGAAGATAATTAACTATATTCTTAATCAATGCTGACTGTGGAGAAAATTCTTATTTAGTCTAATTCAGCACTCATTCAACTAGCTTATCTTCTTTAGCAGAAGATAATTTGAATGAATTTGCATGTAAATTCATCCTTGATTGCATTCAGTTGATAGATTAAAGTAGAATAAAAGACAATAAATTAGCAAGCAGCTTCATAAATTGAAGCAATTTCTTGATTTTTAAAAGCTTTTATCATAACTTCAAGTCTTCCCTCTCTTTATAGAGAATCTGAAGCATTTTTATTGTGAATTGGTGTCATAATTGTGCATTGAAGTGGAAGAGTAGTTAAATTAGAAGGTATTTTGAATTGATGGTGCTCACTTGGGTATTGCACTCGCTTGGGAATTACGTTAACTAGTTATTAAAATATCCATATGTTTCGTACGAAACGTTGCCCTCCAGTTTTCATTTCTATTACTCAGCTGATTTCTCTTTCTCCTCCTCCTTCTTCCTTCCTCCTCTCTCCCTCTCCCAATACCCAGCATTAAGATATGCTGCAGTAACAGGAGCATGCCGGAGCTCCCACCATCACTCGCTCGCTCGTGGTCATTGACTTTGAAGCTTCCCAAGTCAACCTTCCCTCCCCGAGTTTCTCAGGCTGACCAAGCTAAGTACTTGGTCCGATGCACTGATGACCTCTATACCTGGCAACGACGCCAGCGTCCAATCGAGAATCGCTTTGTCCTGCATGACGGACCCCCATACGCGAACGGCGACCTCCATGTGGGGCATGCTCTGAATAAAATACTCAAGGATATCGTCTGCCGCGTGCAACTGGCTGCTGGGAAAAGAATCGACTACGTTTCCGGTTGGGACTGCCATGGGCTGCCAATTGAACTGAAGGCACTGGAGTTGCAAGCACAAAGGGATGCCGGAAAAGTTCAATCAAGTGGGAATGAGAAGGGAAATGCAAATGGAAATCTGGGTGCTGCCACTATTCGTAATGCCGCCAGGCAACTTGCGGAGAAGACTGTTGTGGAACAAATGAAAGGTTTTCGGCAGTGGGCTGTCATGGCAGACTGGAATAATTCGTGGAAAACGATGGACAAGAACTTTGAGAAGCAACAATTGGATGTCTTTTTGAAAATGGTAGAGAAAGGGCTAATAAATCGGAGATTCAAGCCGGTGTACTGGTCCCCTTCCTCACGCACGGCTCTCGCAGAGGCAGAATTGGAATATCGAGAGGATCACAAATCTATCGCTGCGCTTGTGAAATTTCCACTCACATCGATACCATCTAAACTACGTGATATGTTACCTGGGGATACACCCGAAATCTCTGCTGTCATCTGGACTACCACCCCGTGGACGCTGCCCGCTAATGCTGCCATCGCTGTGAGCCCTACTCTGGAATACTCAGTTGTGAAATCAGAAAACCATGGATATCTTCTCATTGGCTCACTGCGACTTGAATATCTTCAAACCTTGCTACAGGAGGGCGAAATAGCAGTAGTAGGTTCGCCACTTCTAGGCTACGAGCTAGGATCTCATGCCACATACCGTCCGCTTTTCAAAGATGAATCCGTCTCGCAACCCATTATTGTGGCAGACTTTGTGACCGCGGACACCGGTTCTGGCCTTGTTCACTGTGCCCCTGGGCATGGAATGGAGGATTATGAGGTTTGTTTAGCTCACGGGATCACAGCTCATGCCCCTGTTAACGATGAAGGCCTGTTCACGGATGAAGCGATTCCTTCCAACCCTTCCTTGCTGAGCGGCAAACCCGTCCTTGGCGAAGGATACAAAGATGTTCTCAAATATGTGGAAAACAAGGGACAGCTTCTTGCCAAACACATATATGAGCACAAATATCCCTATGACTGGCGCACAAAGCTTCCTGTGATTGTGCGCGCCACGGAGCAGTGGTTTGCAGATGTTGGGGATATTCGACACGATGCTCTAAGGGCATTGAAAGATGTCCAGTTCATTCCTGCAACGGGGAGATCACGGCTAGAGAGTTTTGTTAAGAATCGCTCTGAGTGGTGTATATCACGGCAACGAGCTTGGGGTGTACCGATTCCTGCATTGTATCATCGAGAAACTGGGGAGGCCATTTTGACTGAAAAGTCTGTATCTCATATCATGAAGGTTATTGATGAACGTGGAATCGACTCCTGGTGGACGGATGACGAAAATGACCCTGCTTGGATACCAAGTTCCCTTCGCGGGTCTTCTGGGGCTGGATACAAACGAGGAACGGACACAATGGATGTATGGTTTGACAGCGGATCCAGCTGGACGCAAGTGAAAACCCCCGCTTCGGCCGAAGGCTATGCCGCTGATGTGTACCTTGAGGGAACAGACCAGCATAGAGGATGGTTTCAATCCAGCCTGCTGACATATATTGCTCAAAACATTGCCCTGGGAAAGCCCAGCTCTCTTCTTCGTGCGCCGTTCAAAACCCTCATCACCCATGGATTTACCCTAGACAAAAATTCTCGGAAGATGAGTAAGTCGATCGGGAACGTGATTCATCCTAATCAAATCATCGACGGCACGCTTCTTCCTCCGCTAAAATTAAAAAAAATTCAGGGGCGGAAGGAGAAGCCGAAGGGGCCTATATATGATGCCTTAGGACCTGACTCGCTCAGGCTATGGGTCGCGAGCAGTGATTACACCAAGGACATAATTATCGGCGAGCCAGTCCTGAAGGCCGTCAACACCAGCCTTCACAAGTATCGCATGACCTTCAGGCTGCTTCTTGGATCGCTGCAAGACTTCGATCCAAAATCTGCGATCCCTTATGAGTCATTACATATCATTGATAAGATTGCCCTCCTCCAACTTCGGAACCTAGTGAATAAGTGTCAAGATGCGTATTTAAATTTCGAATTCTACAAGGCAGTCACTGCCATCAATAAATGGGCCAATTTGGAGTTTTCCGCCTTCTACATCGAATCTCTCAAAGATCGCTTGTACGCTGATTCAGTAAATAGTTTGAGCAGGAGAGCTGCACAGACTACACTCTGCCACATATATTACCATTTCCAGGGGATTCTGGGCCCGGTGGTTCCGCTTCTCGTCGAAGAGTCCTGGGAACACACACCAGAAGCCATAAAGGCCGAATTCGGACACCCTTTGCAGCGTGTCATGACCGAACCGGCGGCTGAGTGGCAAGATGACGAACTGGAAAGAAGTTTCTTGTTGCTAATGGCCGTTAACACAGCTATTAACACCATGCAAGAAAATGCACGTAATAAGAAGGAAATGGGCTCATCACTGCAGTCGTTCGTGTACATCTCCCTCCCTTGCGGCGCGGCTGAGGCTCCAGTCTTCGCACAATTCGGTGCTGAATTACAAGACCTCTTTGTTGTTTCTTCAGTCACAGTCGGATACAATAATGCACCAGTCCCACCTGAAATCGAGGCTTCTGCGTGGAAGTACAGGTCTGATTTCCAGTTCCCTGGTGATGTCCAAAGCGGAAGTGTTTGGATATATACCCCGCAAGCGAATAAGTGCGGGCGATGCTGGCGGTATGCGGTACCCTTGGAGTGTAAAAAAGACAATCCTCTGTGCCACCGGTGCGTAGTTGCTGTGGGAGAACTGTTGAAGATGAGAGATGAGAGAATGGATACGACTTCTGCCAACAACTAAAGAATATATATGTATTTACTATATAGATGTCATATTTTTGAGATGTGTTTGTACTGTAGGTAGACGGACCTATTTATATTATAGATTTGATAACTAGGCATATTCCCCTGTACTAATATCGTTTATGTATCTGAAGTAATGTAGAATGCACGAAATAATAAATGTAACTAAGCTGCCCTGGTGTTTTCTGAATGGAATGTACTCCATAATCCATGATCTATCCAACAGTGATATTTTATGCTACAGCTTGGAGAAGTACAGTTGTTATCTGTAATGGCATAACTGACCTAGAGACCCAGGAACAAGAGCTCCGTGTCATCCTGGTCCCGTTGATGTGGCCGTTTTATATACTCATGAGGAAAAGCATTGCTATGGGTCCAGAGAGGGACATTAATATGGTAGATCTCTTCATTCTTTATCAAGAAGGGTCTGAAAAACTCCTCCCTTCATCAAATGAATTGTTATGACACACTGCTCACTGGGGTAGTTAAACCAGTTAACTAACTAGTTAAATATTTGACATATGTAACGTACCTCACCACTCAACGCCCACTACCACTCAACACCCACCTCTTCCACTTTATCAACCTTCCACTTCCAACCTCAACACCATGAGCAATGAAGCCTCTATTCAATTAGCACTGGAAGATCTGAGGTTGCAAGAGGTCTCAAATTACCTTGCAACTGCAAAAAAGTATGAAATCAACTGAAGCATCTTGTCATGACACTATAAAAGACCAGCAGCTCTCAAAGATTGAGGCAATCTCTAAGAGCAAAAAATCTCTCACTAATTCACAAGAAGACACTTTTATCCAGCATATAAATCACCTTGCAGTCTGTGGTTTATCTTCTATATCTCAGATTATTTGAAATTTTATGTTTGAGATTACAAAACAAGAGTTTAGAATCAACTGAGTCTCTTACTTTTGCAAACATCATTCAGACAAGGTGAAATCAGTCTATTTATAAACAATTGATTAGAAGTGACAAATTGTGAATAATATCTTGCATTTTCCACACTTCTATGAACATGTTAGTTTGAATTCAACATGTTGACTGACTGACTAGTTGACTGCCACTAGTTGAATGTATTAATTAAGAAATATAATATTGAGATCTCAAATATATACAACTGTGATGAGAAGAGCTTTATAATTGAGTAAAGTCATGCAAGTAAACATGTTGTTCCAGTCAAATCTCTGAGAAATAAGCAAATTATGATCACACAGAATGAAAATTGAGAATTTATCTTTTTAATTACATGCATTTATACAAATAACTTAGCTATTCCTCCAGCGCTTGTTTTTAAGAATGAAGGTGATATACAGAATACATGACTCAATGACTATGATTTAAAGAAGCAAATGACATATTTCTCATCATCTTTGAATGAACGAAACATTGATGTATTTAATTGTCAGTGACTGAATTTGATCAAAATATAAAGAAGAGTCATACTAGAAGACTTCTTATAATAAATAAGCTTTCATCTTATATAAATATAAGATTTATTAACTACATTGATTGTTACTGAATACTTTTAGTAATTCTTTCATCATATTTAATACATCATTTATAGTCTCTGAATGTTGTTATTTTTGAGTCTTTGACAAAGATCTATTTAGATAAATTAAATAAGTTTCAACATTGCTGCTTCATCTATTTCAATAGTAGAAAATATCACTTTTAAAAGCATTTTTAAAAGATCTAAAATAAAACTCTTATATTTGCAAATATTGAAGCTGAATTTGAAATAACTGAAATTCATTTATTCAATTCAGAGAAAGTGATGAAGAGGTTGTGCTCCATTAAATCTCTTAAACAGACTTTGCTGCATCAGTTTATCTCTACTACAAATTGAGATTTACATCATATAATTAAAACTATTAAGAAACATTATTCTTTGCTCTCTGCAGATGTTGAGCAAATTATTCATGCTAATGAGTGACTAGTCATGAAAAATGAGCTCTTTATCACGGCTTCAGCTAGGCGCAGGTGAACTGGTGTTCAATTGCCAACTAGATAAGCTATCTGAGCAAATCCTAAGATGATTTCTAAAAGATGGGTTCAGGGAAGGCTCTGTTTATATATTTCTTTTTCTTTAGCGCTGTTGCCAGGCGATTGCTATCTACCAATCACCTTGGCCCGTATGATGACCGATCGCCTCGGCCTGTATGATGACCGATCGCCTTGGCCTGTTCGACGCCATCACATTACCCCCTCTTGAAGCCTAGGCATGCCCTCATGCTGGTAGGTTATCATCTGCTTCATCTGCTAGATAGTTGTTCTTTTTCCAAGCCTCTAGTCATTTATTTAATTGTTTTGAGGGCTCTGCTTTTGTTGGATTTGCAGCATGGAATTGTCAAATCAGATGTTGTGATCTCTTTAGATTTTGTGCTGGATACCATGTTGAATCTTTATCAAATCCTAGCTATTATATCTAGTATTGAAGCTTCTCATAGGAGATATAGCTTGATAAAACATCTTCAACTTCTCACTCATTTTCTTCTTGTATCTTAACTGGTTCTGGTGCCTCATTTAACTATCTTGGTAGAGGGTCATTTGCAGCCTTCTGTAGCTTATCAGGAGAAAATATTGAGTAAATTTTCACGCTGTTTGATAGTCTTAGTCTGTAGCTGTTGCCTACTTTCTCAATAATCTCAGAAAGATCTTTATTTTACTCTGTGAGCTTTCTGCTAAGGTGTTGAATTCTATAGCTGTTTAGTGACAAGAAGACCTTATCTCCTATCTCAAAGTTTGGCCCATAGCAGTGTTTATTGATTTGTCATTTCATGATTCCTTGTATCTTTTTCATATTGTCTGCTACTAGCTTTCGGATTTTCTTTATTTGAATAACATGCTACTTAGCATCTTCTCATTTAAGCTTCTCTTCTCTAGATAGTGTCTTAGGCAGTAACTTTCAATCAAATAATATTCAAGATTCATATTCATAAGCTGTTAGAAAAAATATCATCTCAGTTGATTCATTCATTAGAGATTCAGTTGCATGGTCCATCATTGACAGCCACTCATTTCAGTTGTTCTGATAGTAATTTACATATAAATAAAGCTTGATTATCAGATATTAATTCACAATCTCAGTCTGACTATCTGTTTGTATGTGATGAGCTGATGAAAGCTTCAGCTTAACTCTCAATTATCTGATGAACTTACTTCAAAAGTCTGAGATAAATTATAGCTCACAGTCTGACATAATTGAATCTAATACTTCATAATATTTATAGTAGTACTTCAAGAACAATATTACTAGCTCTTTGATATCTGTCTTTCTATGGTAGAAATAGATATAGATTTCTTGCTTAGTCAACAGACAATTATCAATATTGCATCATAGTCTTTTTTTATCATAGAGTCATTAATGAAGTTCAGTAAGATGTGCTGTCAGACTCTGTTAGAAATTGATAGTGACTTCAGCAGTTCTAAAGTTTTATTCTGAGAGATCTTCATTTTTTGACACACTAGACAATTGTTCACATATTTATTAACATCTTTGATTCAATCATTTTAGTAGTATCTTGTCTTTATTAGCAAGCATAGCTTTTTCTTCTCAGAATACACTGTAGATGATTACCTATGAATCTCTTTTACAAGATATGCTCAAAGAGTAAAATCTTTTTCAATTGATATCACTAAATATTCTTCAAAATACAAAACTTTATTTATCAGCTCTCAGTGCTATTCTCTCTGTTGTACTTTCTCATATCCTGGTCTCAGTGATTCTACTTCTTTATTTCTTGTCTTGACTTCATTAAGAATATATGTATCTGCATTTAAAGCCTTGACCTCAATAGATTTCCTAATGATCTTTGAGTTCAATCTCTCTGACTTGAGAAATAGTTGCATCTGAGTGCTTTTGCTATTCTTTTAAACCTCAAGCTGACTCAGTGCATCTGCTAGTGTATTCTGATACCTTAGTTTGTACTGAATTAGAAAGTAAAATCAGAAGAGAAACTCTGTCCATCATGTTTATCTAGCATTGAGATTCTTAGTTGTCATAAAGTACTTAAAAGCTCTATGATTAGTCAAGATCTTGAATCTCTCTGTTCTCTGAAGGCCTTTTAGCTCAGCACATCATTCTGCCAGTACTCTCACAATTGCTAGCATCTTCTTATCATAAATCTTATAGTTTCTTTCTGCTCTGCTCATTGAAGCAAAATAAAAGACAACTGAATGCCACTGCTTATTCTCATACAACTGAGATAAAACATTAGCTATTGTATCATCTGAGACATTAATTTTTATCTGAGTCTCTCAATTTGAGTTATAATAATAGAGCATAGAGGCTTTAAATAAAGCTCTCATCATTTAATTAAATGCATACTGGTAGGTCTCATTTCATTCAAAGAATTGATTTTTTCAGATAAGCTTAAATAGTAATTTCATAATCTGACTGTAATTCTTGATAAAACATCTATAGAAGTTGCAGAATTCCAAGAAGAATTGAACTTTCTTGACTGTACTAGGCATTGTTCATCTTGATATCATTGCAATCTTTTCTGAATCTACTTTGATCACTTAATCAATGATAATAAAACTTAAGTACTTTGTCTGTTGAACATAAAACTTGCATTTTAAGATGTTTGTTTGTAGTTTAGCTTCTTGTAATCTAGTCAACATCTTCTTGATATGCTTCTTATATTCTTTCAAGATTTTGCTGTAGATAAGTAAATTATCCACAAAGACAGTCATGAACTGATTCAAGTAGTCAAAGAAGATAGTATTCACAAAGTATTGAAAGATTACTGGACTATTGCTTAGATCAAAGAGCATGATCTTATACTTGTAGACCTCATAATGCATTCCAAAGACAGTCAGATCTTCAGTCTCAGAGTGCATGTATATTCAATAAAAGCCTTGATGAATATTCAAGTTGATAAAGAACTTGACTTCATTTAGTCACTTTATAAGCTCATCAACTAGTGGAATTAAGTATTAATTCTTCTTTAAGATTGTGTTAAGCCAGCAGTAGTTCACATAGA